AGGTTTGGAACACTATTAAAAATGATGGTGGAGTATACCCCACCTATTAAATTTAATATAAACTTGAGAATCAAATACAGAATCGAAAAGAATCGTTAGGATCCTTACTTTTTCCTTTCTTTCTTTTTTCTGTTTTTTCTTCTCTTTCTCTTATACTTCTCCTCTGTTATACAAACTTTTTTTTAACTTGTTCTCTCTCTTTTCATTTTTCATTTTCCTTTGCCAAAAATAGGTTTTCCTTTTTTATTGAAGGTTTTTCTTTCTAGGCTTTTTTTTTTTTGAAATACTGTTTTATTTCATTACTTTTTTGGCTAGTAGATTTCTTTTTTTCAGGAATTATTAGAAAATAATAACTTTTCTTAAAATATAAGTTTTGGAAAAATTTTTTTTTTTATGATTTTTAGAAAAAGAATGGATAATTGATCTCTTCAAAAGATTGATATGATCATTGTTACTAAATTCAATATTGTTTACTTATTAATAGTAAAAACCAGATACATTTTTTTTTTTTTACGTTGTAAAAGGGCATCAGATACAAAATTTTATTAATATATATAGACATATCCAGATTATATCTAACATCTTTACAAAATTAAGTTTGTAAATTAATGTTAACCTATCTATAATGCTAACTATCCCTACCCTGGTTACATATAGTGTACTTCGGATTAGTTTTAGTGCTGGATGGTTAATGCCCTTCCAAAGCTGAGATAAAAACTTGTGATTTGGTGACGCTGCTGGTATGGTTTGCCTGCGAGTCTGTAACTTCCATTATTAGCTCAAGCAAATTTTTATCCTCCGAGATAGCTTTTGGTGTGTGGGTACTGTTGGAGCTTTTGGTTGGGGAGGAGTTCCTTTTCTATTTGATTCCCTTTACTTTAGATGTGTTAGCAGTTGCTGATCTTGGAATCCATATCTGTGAGTATAATAAGGCTAGTATTTTGTTTGCCATCTTGGCATGGCTGGCGATAGATAGTTGTATGTCTATGTTTAGCATTCCGCTAGCAAGTTTGTCTAGGTTAGATTTTCGGCCAAAGTCTAATTTTTGCAGATTTCTTTCGATTTCTGTTAGGTTCTTCCTATTACTGTTTTTTCTTATGAGCTTTATCAGACTTGTTCTTATCTTGTTTTTCATTATGCTGTATGCTGCGATGTTTTTGTAGCAATCAAAGATGTGACTCTAAGTCTCCACTGCTGTAAGGCACCTAGGGCAGAGGCTATCAGTATAAGTGCTCGGGTAACGGTCGTGTAGTAGCTGTCTAGATAGTAACGTTCCGCTCAACAGTTTGAGTCTAAAGGCTAATAGTGAAGAGGTGTTCACTTTATCTTTGTTGGTTAGCAACTTGTTAGCCATGGTTAGGGTTTGAAGTACTGTTGTTTTCATGCTGCCTTTCTATCTGTTTTTAATTGACGAGCTCTGAATAATATCGGCGAGTCTGTGTGTCCTCTGGATTATTTTGGTCCAAACCACTGGACTGAAGCTCCAATTGTTCTTGATTTTTGAACTGGAGATGTAGCTTTCCGGCTCCACTAGGTTGTCGATTCCTATGATTGTGTCACTGTCTTGATGGCTTGAAATAATCAGACTTGACTCTAGTCTCAATTTGATATTCTTGCGTTTGTACGTGCTATTGATTCTTTCCTTTAGAAAACTATATGAAAATTTGACTCTTTGATTCGAGTAACTTGGAGTATGCAGATTTAGTTTCTTTGGGAGATTTATTGCTATGTATGTCTGGTCATTTGCTGCCTCCACTAGCCCTATTATTTCTAATAGAATGCTAATTGGCTGTGGGTTTGTTGAATAAAGAGCTATATTGATGTCATGTCCTTGTATGATAATTAATTCTCCTTTGCTCTCGACATTGAAGTGTAGAAATAGTCTGTTAAAGTTGATGACCTGTTTGAGGTCCTCTATGGTATTAGTGTTGAGTAGTGCTAATAGGTCTCTGCACTCATGATAGCTGATATCTACTCTTGGATTGTTGTCTGATATGGCGTTATACTGAAGTTGAAGCCAAATTTCCTCTAGTGCATTGGCTAGGCGATGTTCATTGTTTGTCTTGTAAGTCCAAAGGGACATTGCTTTGGTTGTTGGAATGGCTATTTGGAGGCTATTGACGTGGCATTGGCATTTTTTAAGAGTCTTGTTTGTTGTTAGTCTGTAATGAGTTTCTTTTATTTGAGGTTGGGTATGGTTACGATTGATTCTTGTTTTGATAAAGTTCAGCTCATTGTTAGTGATAAAGGCCCATAATCTGGCTCTCATATTTGGGATGCAGGATGAGGTTCCTTTAAGGGTCTGCGGGGAATTGATTTTGCTGAACCAAATAGGTACCGGTCCTTTGGATATGGGGCGAAAATGTGTGTTAAGCTCATGTCATGTTAGTTTTTTGCTTGATTGGAAACTAAGTAGATCTTCTAAGAACTTGATATTTCCTCTGTTCAGTCCTAATGCCTGACGTTT